AATAAAATGAAATATTAAAATCATGATGTATCTCGCTGCATTGCGCGAGTATGCTTCTAGTTTTTTATAAAGATAATAATAAAGTACTTTGAAAAAACTCAATGATTATCCTAATTATATTTTAGATTTTTTATTTTTAAAATGAGATGTTTATTCTCTATTTGATTATGTTTATCTGCAGTTAGTTACACGAATTCAAACATACAATTTACTTGTAATCTTGAATTTTAAGTAATATGCATCAATAAACAATACTTCATGCATAAAAAATGATTTTAAGAGTTTTTGTCAAATACTTTATAATATAGTACAGATAAGTGTTCTACTCTTGGAAACTTTAAGATTTTTAAAATGTTTACTGGTTTATCTTTTACTATTAACCAAAGTTATAAACGTAAACTGTCTTAGATAAAAATGAAAGAAATAGATTTATATGATGAGCAATAAATAGAATTATAGATAAACATGATCCAAAGATATTTAATTTTTTTTAATAAAACACGTCATCGTCGATATATAATTTATATCATTATTAATAAATTTATTACATGGTATGCACTTTTTCACAAATGTTGTCATTTGTCTAATGTTGTCTATTATGTTCGTTAAACTCGATGGCAAAATGTTCTATTTGTCATTTTTTTCTATTTGAACTTTTTATGATTGATTTTTTTAAAATTAGATTAAAATTAGAGGGCAACTGTTAATATTAAAACTTGATGAGTCAACAGTTGCACCCTGCAATTCCTTTCATCCTCGTCGTGACACACTCTTTATCAAACAATCTCTAGAGAGAAAATGTAGGGTTATAACAAAAGGGACCAAAATGGTTTATCCGGTGACTATTTCTGATGAGACCCTCTCCCTCTACATCTTCCTCAACAACGCTGGTGAAACCCTTCCCTCTTTCCTGCACCACCATTCTCACTACCTAACGTCCACCACCTTAACCCCACTGGAAAAAGAGACCGTTAGATTTGTTGAAATCGATGGATCACTGGAGTAAACTACGACCATCATACAGAGTGGCAGATGCATAACAAAAGGGTAGGGGTCATAGGCCCCTAACCCCACCCACACACAATAAAAGGAAATTACCCAAATTGATCATTTTATGCACGGTATACTAACAAAATGACCATTTTTCAAATATTTTCCACAAAATGACCACCAAAAATGGCCCCTGGAGGGCGATTTTGACTATAAGGTACAAATTGATTTCACATGTATACAATTTGGGGAATAAAAATCGGATATATATGAAATCGCCCTCATTTTGTCTAAATCACCCCATGGGGGCGATTTTGAACTCTATTATGTTCTATAGTGAAAACAACTTATGACATAACAATTTGACACATCAATGACGATTTGACGAGACATCGAGAGCGATTTTCATTGGTATGTTGTCTTTTTTTAGGATCAAATGTAGTGTGTGTGTGTGTGTATATATATATATATGTATATATAAATCTTGTAGTATTCTCTATAAAATTGTAGTGATCCAAACAATTTTACTCTCACAACCCTTAAACACGATATACCATTACAACCCATAACACAAATATGAAATCACGTCAAAGTGATAATGGTTCCATATATGTTCAAAATGACGGGTTAGAAGTGTTTGGATCACTACAATTTTATAGATAATACTACAAGATTTTATATATATTACATTTGGTAATAAAAAAGACGAAATACCAATGAAAATCGCCTCCGATGTCTTGTCAAATCATCATTGATGTGTCAAATTGTTTCGTCATAAGTTGTCTTCACTAGAAGATGAAATAGAGGTCAAAATTGCACCTATTGGACGATTTTCACTTTTTGAGGGCGATTTACCCATTTTCAGATATAATATTTCATTTTTGTCCCTCAAATAATATACATATAAGACCCATCCGTACCTTATAGTCAAAATCGCCCTCACGAGACAATTTTGATGGTCATTTTGTGAAAAAGCTTTAAAAAATAGTCATTTTATTAACGTACAATATATAAAATGGTTATTTTGGGTAATTTCTCTACAATGAATCACCCAATAAAACATAAGTTGTAGGTTAAATTTTTTAACCTGAAATTATTAATAAACCCCCCAACAAATTAAAGTTAAGACCCCAAATTTGATTACTATTATCTCATTTACGACTCTTCTTTCAAGAAGTAATTATTTTAAGAATCAATTAAATTTTAATTCTCTTAATTTCTATGAGACTGCTTGAAAATTATTTTATTTCTCTTATTTTATTTGCTATACTGCTAATAATTTGATTAATTACTGTATTAGTTTATAGATTTATAATCATTGTTATTTGTTAATTATTAATTGTTATTTGATTTAGGGTTCTTGAGTTTGTTATTTAATTTGGGTTTGTTATTTTGATTCAAGGTTTGCTACTAGTTTGTCCTTTATATTTTATTTCTTGATCTTTTACTATTGAATTTATTTCTAACCGAATCTAAGTTATTGATCTCTTGCCATTAACTGTTAATGTGTAATGTGTTCATTTGCTTAAATTATGTACATAGCAGTATAATGTCTCGCTTTACCCAAATTAATAAAAAAATCAAAAACCGAACTGAAAAAGTTATATTTATTCAATTAAACTGAACCGTTTAAGCTGAACATCGAATAACCCAAAATCGTATTTGTTCGAATGAGTTGTTCAATTTCAATTTTTTTAGACCCTTAAACGTGCCCCTAATTATAATTTTTTTTGGGATTCGCCACTAATTGTGCATCAACACAAAACACACAAGTTCAAATCCAAGGAGGAATAAAAATCTCATTGTAGCCACAGAGGTTCATATACGGTGACTCTGGGATATCTGCAAAGCAGGTGGCTGGGACTAATCGGCTAGCATAACGGGTTGAATATTCAAGTTAATAAAAAAATATATAAAAAAATAATTCAAAAAATATAAAGAGGAATTAAGACTTCATGCATTCTGGTCTACTAAAACCCACACGGTCCCATTCAGCTGTTTTTGGGTCTCTACCACCACAACATTACCACTTATATTAGTCACTGCGTGTCCTCCCACCCCTTCTAATCTTCCTGCACCAGTATAAATCGAGTATTGAACATGCTTTATTCTGTTCGGAAAAACCAACACCGGCGAAAAGTCCGCCGTCCACACCGTCCCATTTCCGGTCACCGCCAGCTTTCCGACCGTTGATTTCAATCTCATCCCACCATTCACATTGTTTTGATCGATCACAACTTGATCGATGCTCGTGAAATCCCCATCTATCTCCACGACATTTCTTGTGTCCCCAGAGAACATATTGTTGATGATGTTAAGTCCTGATATCCGACCATTCACCGATTTCAGAACAACGTTACCTCCTCCAAGAAAAAACCCGTTTACGATATGAACTTGTGACGGATCTTGTACAACTATCGAGTTGTAATCCATATAACAATTATCGATACGGTTTTGTCCGGATTTTATAAGAATCCCAATCCCACCGAAAAATGTTGCTTTATTGTAACAATGGACCCCGGTGATCATGTTCGCCTGACCTCTTAACACAATTCCCGTGGCGGCGGAGAAAACAACAACATCCGTGACGGCATTATCATTGCTAGCGAGATCGATGGCGGTTCCAAGAAAACCCCTCTCGTGTTCATCCCCGCCGATAGTCGGGATTTGTCCGAGGAAACTGTTTGATATGAAGGTTTCGTGACCTCTCTCAACCAGGATCCCCTCGGACACAAAATGTAGGAAGAAGCAGTTGTCGATGCGGGTTCGTGCTGAATCGATCACGAGAAGGCCACCACCTAAATTACTTGAATCGAAGAGGATGTCACGAAAGGTGATGTCTTCATAGTAGATTGGTTCATTTCTATTTTTCATGTCGGAGAAAGTGTCGTGGGGTTCGCTAGCTTTGTTTTCTGAAGGCTTCGAGGAACTCAGGGAGCGTAATTCGATAAGATACCCGTCATGTGGAAACGTGTCGGATGCACGTAACGTACCGCCCTGCAGCTATAAGGTAAGGTCTGTTACATGTCAATTTTCATTATATACAAATATAGAAAAATCCAAATCGAATGGATCCAATAAATCTCATTACTATTTCGTAATTTATATATATATATATATATATATATATATATATATATATTTCTTAACTTAAAGGGATATCCCTGGTAAAAGATCGAGTTTGCTCTTCAAAGATAAGTAAAGGGTGTTCAATTTCAATGGTTAAGCTATATTAATATGTTTGGTTGTAAGAAATTGGCTTAACATGGTAAGCCAACACACGCTATCTTAATGCATTAAGCTATGATTTTTGCAACAAAATTACCCTTCCACTAGATCTTTATATCACGTCTCATTAAAAAGTAGTTTACCAACAAAAGTATAAATTAAAAATTAGAATAAATAGTGATGCTTAATTGTTTTAAATGTATTGTAAGTTGTTACTTATTGTGTAATGAACTCAATGAATTTTACGTTATTTATACTATGTTATAAAACATTTGATGAAGACTCTTAAAATCATTTTTTATGCATAAAGTACTGTTTATTGATGCATATTACTTAAAATTTAAAATTACAAGTAATTTTGCGTAAGTACAACTTATTAAAGATTTATTTTTAAATTCGTGTAACTAACTGCTGATAAAAATAATTAAATACAAGATAAACATTCATTTTAAAATAAAAAATTAAAATATAATCAAGATAATCATTGAGTTTTAAGTTTAATTATTATCTTTAATCATATTATTAAACCAAAAATAAATTACTTTGTTATTAAATCTAAATTAAATTATAATAAAAAATGAATTAAAGAAGTTACACCAAAAAAACGTGAACTATTAAATAGTTAATATCATACTAATTTCGATTTTAATTTTTTCAAATTTTTATGTTATTTTCAAATTTATATTTCATCTAAAAATAAAAACATTATAACTTTCTCAAACCACATAAAATCGTATTATATTGCTAGAGACAATGAATAAAAACTAAACATTAAAACAAAAATTTATCTCGCTGCATTACGCGAGTACCCTTCTAGTTTCATATAACTAATACAAAATTTATTTTTTTGTTATCAAGAAGATTTATCAAACAATAAATTTTCATGCAACATTTATGTAGACAGAAAATCAATATGGTAATTTTCATTATTCAAACTATTTATTTTGTACAAAATCTTGAACAACAATTTATCTTAATTCATTCAATTACAAAAAATATAATGAATACAAGACTTAATAAATAAAAAATCAAACAACCAAATTCAAGCCCCTTAAGATTAACGAAGAGTTTATTTTAACTTTAAAACCACATTAAAAAGAGTATTGTTATATGCAATTTTATTGATGAGATAAAATCATAAATTGAAAATGTAAAAAGTAAATCTTGATGTTAATTTATTTGAAAAGATTAGTAGACAATGAGGGTTGTTATTCATACCCACACTCAGATGCACCTATTTTTTTAATCTCCTATCTCACTCATCTATCCTTTAGAATATGTTTGGTATCTAGACAAGACATGACACTACAGGACAAGACAAGAAAATTGTTCAACGTTTAGTAAGATAAAACTGGATAGGACAAAACAAGTAAAATGACCAATTTATCCCTGATGAGTTGTTTATTTTAATTAATTTATGTAATTTATTAAATTATAATAGAATAATTATTTTTTATAACAAAATATATCATTTGAAGTTTTCATCAAAACAATTAAAATAACACCAAATAAAAAGTTTATGTGGCTTCCGATTTTTATTTTTATCTCTATTCTACATTATTTATTATTACTAATATATAATAAATTACATAAATTAATAAAAACAGTATAAAAATAATATTTTGAGAATATTAAAATAAAAGTTTAAGAAACATAAAATACAATAAATAAAATTTAAAGAATGAATAAAATGTAAAAAAGAGACCTATTTGATATTTTAGAAAAGAATTAAGTTTTATTTTGAGGTTATATTGGTAAAATATATGTCTATTCCATCTTGTTCCACCATGTTCCACTTTGTTCTACTCTGTTCCTGTCTGTTCTACATAAAAGTCGTGCCAAACATGGGACATGAATCTCTGTCCTATTTTGTTCAGTGTACCAAACGCATCCTTATCTATACTATATTATAAAGCATTTGACAAAAACTCTTAAAAACCACTTTTTATGCGTAAAGTACTGTTTATTAATGCATATTACTTAAAATTTAAGATTGCATGTAGATTGTGCGTAAGTACAACTTATTAAAGCTCCATATCTGAATTCGTATAACTAACTACAGATAAATATAATCAAATACATGATAAACATCTCATTTTAAATATAAAAAATTTAAAATATAATTAGGATAATCATTGAGTTTTAATATAATACTTAATTATTATCTTTATAAAATGTTATATTATTAAACCAAAAATAAATTAAATTACTTCATTATTGAACTTAAATTAAATTATAATAAAAAATTAAATTAAAGAAATTATATAAAAAAATGAGAACTTTTAAATAGTTAATTTAATATTAACATTGATATATATTTTTTTTTTAAATTCTTATGATATCTTCAAATTTATATTTTATTCAAAAATAAAGTCATTATTGCTTTCTTAAAAACACATAAAATCATATTATAACATCGACAGAGATAAATAATAAAATAGAATATTTAAATCGATATGTGTCTTATTGCATTGCACGAATACTTTTCTAGTTTATAAAAAAAAATAAGAATAAAATTCCCTTTTAACGATGCATAAAGATGCATTTAAGTCACCTATACAAATAGAGTCAAACATGAAACACCCATAAATATCGAATATCAATTGTGCATTCAAGATTTGTAGCCAATTAAAGAAAAACGTGAATTAGAATGGTATAATACTGGTTTTAAATAATCTGTATTAAATTGTTGGATTAATTGGTCAAAATGCCTACAACTAGAAGCATAAAAAGGCGGAGCCCTAGGCTTCTTAAGATAGGCCTCCGCCCACTACATCATTTCCCACATCAAATTCGCCTAAAATCCAAGACCCAGTATACGCATGGCATTTATTCCAAATGAATGCCTTCAGAAAATCAGTTGCAATTTATTATTATTATTATTTTTTTTATGATATAATATATGTGAAGGCATACATGAAAGTACATTCCATGCACGGAGGCAAACAAATCATATTTTTTTTTATTTAAAAATAAATTATTATGAATTTAAGATTTAAATATTTTTTATCTATTAAATACTTTAATAATCGTAAAATAAATATCATATTGAAATTAAATTTAAATAGGTTTTAATTTAATAAAAGAAAAGTAGAAACACATGGTCATTGCGTATGTTGATACATCTCATAATTCATAAAGCTTTTACATAATTAAAGTACCATACTTTTCTTCGGGTGGTGGGTGAATTCATTTAGAGTCGCATTCTAAAAGTTACGATGAGAAACGTAAAACGAGATTTTTATCTTTAGATCAATTCTAATTAAATGTCAAAACTAAACACAATCATATATTTATACATCTTAAAAGTTACTCAGAACTCTAGTGCACGTGGACGCATAAAGTTCTGATTGAGAGAGAGAGAGGGGGGGGGGGGGGGGTCCTAATTTACAAAATTAGACAAAAAATTAAACAGCATTAAAGAAGAGGAAAGGAGAATTTAGTAAAATACCACAAGATTGCCGGAGTTGGGCGGAATAACGATGGGCTTAGAGATTTTAAAGCTGCCGCCTTGAAGATCAACAATGGCGCCACCCAAATCATTCACTCCGGGCAGCATTTGCTGCCCGTCTTTGATCAGGGCAGCATCGGCCACAGCATTCATAATCGCCGCCGTGCTATCCTGCGCACCACTCGCGTCTCCTCCATACCCGATTGGATAGAACACCCTACCGGCACTCTTTATCAGGAAAAAAAAATCAGAAACGATTACTTCCTGAATCCAACTGCTACAACAAGTTATATATATACACATGAAGCATCGAAAAATATATAATGTCTGGTTCGTACCTTAACAAGATCGGAAGAAGAGGAAAGCAACCGAGAAGGAGATGAACGCCGATGAAGCTTCGATTTGATGTCATAAAGCTTCTGTTGCCTTTGAGAAGAATTTGCTGATTGTAAGACCAAAAACAACAGAAACAAATTCGGTAAAGAAAATGGTCTCATTTTGACGGACCCACGTTTGGCGAAAGGTGAGGGGTTAGGGTTCGGCACTAGAACCGGGAACCCTGAAAGTGGGTGCGGACGTTGGAGAAGATAAAGAAATAAAGAGAGTTGGGTTCTGTGTGTGTATTTATACGTGGAAGAAATGAAGAGGGTCTATGAAGGTATTGCTTGAATTTTATTTATTTATTTAATTATTATTGATTTTAAATTAATATTTTGTTTTCATTTGCTTTTACTTTTGCTTTATATTAAACGACTGAATCAATTAAGCTTGGATTATTTGTATTTAGTGCATTCGTATCAATTAATCGATCTGTTAAAGAGGAAAAGATCACTTCCCCTTTGAAAAGATACGATTATTCTTATAGATATATAATTCAAATCCATATTGTTATTTGGGAAAAGTTTAAAAAAGCTTAATGAACTTTAGTCGAAAAAGTTATTTAACATGTTTTGAAATGTACAAGGAGATTTTACCCAATTTCTATAGAATTACTTGTTTGAACTGTTAAGCAGTATAATGACTGTTAATTTACCCTTTCATCTCCTATCAAGCAATCGTTTTGGTTAACTCAATTTTTTTCGCTCACATCAAAGGTTTATAGTGACGATGTAATCCTAATTTATGGGCAGAGGAACTATGGTTATAGGAGAACCAACTATCATAACATAACTCATTTTGATACAAGTTAGGCACTTCCACATACGACTCGACCCAAGTCTTACATAATCTTTGCCGAAAATGTAAAGGAATTTTAATTAAGATACGAAGAACAACTAAACGATAGAGCAAGAGGGATATTAGTTTAGAGCGAGATGTTAAATCTGAAACCGCCATAAGTGATTTATTATGATTTTTCTATATCAATTCAAAATTTGTCGGTAAGTGTGATGAATGATGATCATACATGTAGTTCGTATACATCTCGTAGGTGGATTTAAAAAATCTTGCAAGGCATAGGATATAAATTATGTCCTTCTTATGCTAAAAATACGGAAACCACAAGGGCGGTGCTTGATTGGTTTGAGCTTGGCTCCAAAGGTCAAAAATACCAGGAGGTCCCATGTTCAAATCCAAGGAGGAATGAAAATCCTCTTGTGGTTACGGATGTTCAAATGCGGTGACTCCGGGCTATCGGCAAAGCAAGTGGTTGCCCTGGAATTAGTCGGCTCGTATAGCGGGTTGGATATCCAGGTTGATCAAAAAAAATACGGGCAAAAAGGAGTGGAGGGAGAACCTTCCATGAAAAAATAATGTTCAAATATAAAAGTGACAAAATTCGAGCATAAAAGCAATATCAATGTTCTTTTTCTTCACTGATTTGGCACCATTTTGGCTCTTTTTCATATATTAATTGCTTCCTCAAGCTTCCCTGATTAATAAACGTCAAATTGATCATATCATTTATGAGTATGGCCTTAAAAATTTAACAAAAACCAAAAGATACCTGAACACGGCACAACCATGCTACCGGTGAAGGATACAATGAAGTTTACGCTACATATATACATTTTGATCAGAGATAAAATGCAAAAAGCGATTAATATAATACTAAAAATATGTACAAAATAACAAGCTAACACTCACAAACCCCTTTTATTTGAACATGACTATATGGTTTCCAATTTCTTATGGGAAAAACGTAATTATGCTCTAAAAATATGGACTTGTCATTTCAATTTATATTTGTTCGAGTCTCGCATTTCATAGATAGTACAAGTCCAGTTTGTTTCTTCTTTTGAATAATCTGTCAATTTAGCCTCCAACTTTCTATGATGATGACAAAAGAAAATTCGTTTAACTTTTTTCTCCGTTCTTTGTGATGAACCTTCATTTTAGAATTGAAAGGTCATTAGTTATTTTAAAATTTTGGTAAACAACGAAACCTAGGAAAACTGTTGTTATAGAAGGTTGCGTTTGGTACATGAGACATGACAGAAAAGAACAAAACTCGTTGTCCTACATTTGGTGTGACATAGGACTAACAATAACTCACCGTCCCATGTTTGATGCGACATGGGACACGAACAAGAACCGCGATAAGGTGGGACAACGTGGGATAAAAAAGACTTTTTCTTGTTCCACAAAAATGGGTAGAACAAGATGGGACAAAAATGCGACATGAACTAAAATATTACTAACTCTCGTTTGATAGATAACCTGAACATGATATTTGTTTTAGTGGTCACCACTGGTAGTTGTGGCTGCCGCTACCATCGGTAGCCATTGTCGGTGACCTTCCCCTCCTCCACCACCTCCACAACCACCATCGACTACCATCGTCTATCACCACTTCCACAACCACCATTGCCCACCTACCACCAACGTCCATCACCACTACCACCGTTGGCTATCTCCACCTTCTCTTCTACCACAACAACCTCTTTCACCACCTCCACAACCATCTTCGTCCACTAACCACCACCATTACCACCGTTGGCCACCTCCACCTTCTCTTATACTACAACCTCCTCCACCACCTTCACAACCATCATCGTCCACTGACCACCATCGTCCATTTCCACCACCACTATCGTCGTGGCCACCTCCACCTTCTCTTATACTACAACCTCCTCCACCACCTCCACAACCATCGTCGATCACCGATCAACATCGTTCATCGCCACAACTGTGGGCAACCTCACCTCCACCATCGGTTACCAGTACCACGGCCCACCATCGCCACTGGCTACCACTACCACCATCGTCAACCACTATAGCCTACCACTGCCACTATATACAATATTCATGTCCTCTACAACTACAACCGTCCATCTCCACCACATAGGTTGTAAGTACCTCCTCCACCACTGTTGACCCCCCCCACCACCACTATCCACCATCTTCACGTCCTCAACAACCACTATCGT